AGCACACGCACACGTCATGTAAGACCTTTTATTTAAACGTGGCCCGATAGGTGTCAGGCGGTTTGCTCTCGTTCAGTAAATACTAGTCTGATTGTTTAAAATAAAATTGTGTTGAGACATTATGAATTGTTGTTGTTTTTCATTTAAAATCTGACAACTCTATGTTTTCTAATTATTTTTTAAGGATGCATCGATAGTTTTGTTTGTTTGTTTGTTTCCCCTGACAACTTTCATAGCACTGCACAAGCTGGACCAAAGGCCAAACCAATAAAACGTTGGCTCATATCCTTCATGTTTACTGGAACTGGAAAAACAAACTAGGAGGATGATCTATACACCGTATGTCTATAGACAGACGTGCAGTATTTAAGAAGCACTTTTGTGAGTTTAGCGTTCATCATTTGGCTCAAATGAAGCGCGTTGTTTCTTGAAAGCATCTCGCCTCAGAAACCTGCAGATACCAGAAAACAAGGCCGACGAGTCAGGAGCTTCTTCACAACAGATGCAACCACCTGAAGATCGTTCTTCATGTTCTCAACTTGTGTGAATTTTGTGTCAGACAGGTAAAGTGGACCCCCACCACCCCCGAGTGTCGGGCCACAGAGGACACGTGCTGGACGTCAAATGGAATCCTTTCAACGACTACTGCATCGCCTCCTGCTCTGAGGACGCCACGGTGCGCACACACAGATACATCCGTTATGTTTGTGTGTCTTTGTGTGTCCATGTGTCTGTCTGTTAGCAAAATATCCCACCAACCAACCTCTGGATGAACTTTATAGAAATGTGAACAAAGTGATCATTAGCTGTGCTTCTATAACTGAATAACTTTTAAGGATTCAATCAGTCCCATGCATGATGGCTGCCGGAGACAACAGCCTTTAAAGAAACTTTGGCTACTGCTGCACCGTTGAAGTTTGACATGTGTGTGCAGGTGAAAGTGTGGGAGATCCCTCCCCACGGAGTGCTGAAAAACCTGACTGTGCCGTGGAAGGAGCTGCAGGGTCACAGCCGCAGGGTTGGCCTGATCGAGTGGCACCCCACAGCCAATAACATCCTCTTCAGCACGGCCTACGACTACCAGGTACCACAAACACGCCACACCTGCACATCCTTCATACGGTCTTTCAGTGGAAAACACTAAAAGTAATAATTTGACTGAAAGCAGACATATATGTGCAGATTTACACTTCATCTTCATTTTCATCTTCTACCGCTCGTCCGTAGTCGGGTCACAAAGGCAAACGTTCCAGCAGAGAAACACAGACAACCCTCTCCTCAGCGGCGACACTTTCTAGCTCGTCCTGGGGGTCCCAGGCCAGAGAAGATACACAATCCCTCTAGAGTTTTCTGGGTCTTCTCCAGGACCTCCTACCAATGGGATGTGACCAGAAAACCTCTAAAGAGGCATCTGTGAGGCGTCCTAATCAGAAACCTGAACCACCTCAACTGACTTGTTTTGATGCGGAGGAGCAGCGGCTCAACTCCGAGCTCCCCCCCAGATGACGGAGCTCCTCATCCTGTCTCTAAAGCTGAGACAGAACCACATCATCCACATAAAGCAGAGACGAGACCCAGAGTTTCCCAAACCAGACACCCTCCTCTACCTGACTGTGTCTTGAGATCCCGTCTATGAACACCACAAACAGGACCGGAGACGAGGGACAGCCCTGGAGTCCAACCTGCGCTGGGAAAGAGCTTGACTTTGTGCCATGAATGCTGACACAGCTCCTGCTTTGGTTCTACAGGGACTGGATAGCCCTTAAATGCAAACCAGACACCCCACACTCCCGCAGTCCCCACCCACACACACAGAATGCCTCGAGGAACACGGTTATAAGCCTTATCCAGGGCCAGAACACACATGTAGACTGGAGAGGCAAACTTCCATGACCCCGTTAGCAACGTGAAGATCTGGTCCACTGTTCCACGACCAGGATGGAGGCCACACTGTTCCTCCTGAATCAGAGGTTCGAACATTGGTTGGAGCCTTCCTTCCAACACCCTGGAGTAAATGTTCCCAGGGAGGGCGAGAAGTGCGATCCCACAATAGTTGGAACACACTCTCCGGTCCCTCTTGTAAAAGATGGGAACAACCACCACCTCGCTCTGTCGCTCCTCAGGCATTGTCCCAGTCCTCCATGCAACACTGAAGAGACATGTCAGCCATGACCGCCCCACAACATCCAGAGCCTTCAGCATCTTGGGGTGAATCTTGTTCACCCCTGCTGCCCTTCCACCGAGGAGCTTTTTGACAATGGTGACATGTGGACATGGTAGATGATTTAGGAGACCCTAGAAGTGTTCCTTCCACCACTCAACAATATCCTCAGTCCAGGTCAGCAGTCCCCCCACCCAAACCAAACACAGCCGTGGAAGGGGCCTGCTTTCTTTTTCTGAGTTGCCTAACAGTTTGCCAGAACCTCCTCAAGACCAACCGAAAATCCTTCTCCATGGCCTCCCCAAATTTCTCCCACGTTCAAGTTTTAGCATCTGAAATCACGAAGCTGGAGCCCTTTTGGCCACCCTGTTGCAGTCAGCTGCTTCAGGAGTCCTCCATGACAGCCAAGTCCTGAAGGCCTCCTTCTTCAGCTTGATGGCCTCCAGCGAATCCTTTGGTTGCTGCTGCGACAGGCACCAATGACCTTCAGGCCACAGCTCCTGGAAGCCGCATCTGCAGTAGAGGCCCTGAACATGGTCCATTCAGATTCCATGTCCAACCTTCCCCAGGACCATTAAAAACTCTCCTGGAGGTGGGAATTGAAAATTGCACAAACAGGGGGCTCCACTAGATGTTTCCAGTTCACCTTCACGATGCGTTTCCACCACCAGATCCAACTCACCTCCAAGTGGTGATCCCTTGAAAGCTCACTTTTTGGTTAGCTGTGCCCACCACTGCCAAGTTTTTGAGCTTGGCAGCAAGCCACTGTGATTCTTGTCAATCTGGTCAGAGTTAAACTCCCAAGTTATGGTCACTCAAAGATCTGCAGCAGGTAAAATAGTAAGTGTTCGTAACCTTTCCATAGACCACTACTTCATATGATCTGAACTATCCCTTTAATGTAAACAAGTAATTCAGTCAGAACCAAACTGTAGGTTAAAATGGTTCAAGCTTCAAGTCTGGATTGAGTTCTTCTTCTCTGACTTACTGAACATGTTTTTATACTTATTGTGGCACAGGTGATGATCTGGAACCTGGACTCTCCAGAGCCGGTGATAAAGAACCCAGTCCAGACCATCAAACACCACACAGATGTGGTTCTGTCAATGTCCTTCAACACGTACGGCAGCCTCCTCGCCACCACCTGCAGGGACAAGAAGGTTCGGCTGATGGAGGCGCGCTCAGGGAACCTGCTGCAGGTCTGTGTGTGTGTTTGCACTTTGTTCGATTGACATTATCAGATGCCACATAATTAATCTCCTACGGAGATGATGGATGGATTTAATCATTAAACGGAGGCGGAGCCTCTGGGTTCAACTGTCCCCCTCTTACAATGCTGTGATTGCTAGTATCACTCAGCCCTCTGTGAACAGTAAACAGCCATCAGGTGCTAATGATCCATTGTTAGGCTGATGGTCCTTCTTGAGCATGTGATCAGCTGGTTCTGGTTGTCAGCAGCAAACTGGTTGATCCACTCTGAGAAGGTGCTATTTAAGAGACTGAGCTGAATACAGCACCTCAGACTGAGGAAGTCCTCAGGATGAAACGTTTCTACATTTTTGTTGTTGTTTTGCTTTGTTTTGTGAAAGTCCAGAGGACCAGATTGAACTTTTTTAGGCTCATCATGTCTGTTTTATTCTAACAGAACTAAATGTTTCTTTTTGCAGGAAGGCAACTTCAAGGCCCACAAAGCCAGTAAGGTTCTGATTCTAGGGAACATGAAGCTGCTGCTCACAGCCGGCACGTCGCGTTACAACGACCGACAAATCGCTCTGTGGGACCAGGTGAGACGCGCTGCCACCTGACTGCTGTCGGCTCGTTGGGGTCTTTTTACGGGTTCTGGACCACCAGATCCAAACTTAATGAAGTTAAGGTTCTGTTGATCCACAAACCAAACCCTTGGACCTGGATGTAACACGGTGCCCTAATAATCCTTTTATTTTGTTGCCTTACAATCCAGAATTTATTAGATGTTTTAATTTGATGAAACGCAACAACGCTACAAAATCACATAAAGTTAATGAATGGAGAGAATTAATTACTTATTTTAAATTTATCTAAAAAAAATATTGAATTGAAAAATTGTATTGAGCTCCCAAAATGTGATACTTTTTAGAGCTTTAGTAAAATGGTAAAAAAAATAACAAGATTTTTAAAATTTGTTAAACGCCTTTTACTCTTTACAGATGATTTTAGGCTGTTTTCATGACGCTGACGTCATTAAAGCCTTTGAGTGGATGTTTTTTTTTTTAAATGCTCCCATCTGGTGGACAAAAAGCAGCTCAACAACTCACTCTGATGAAGTTCTGGGGTGGGGGGAAGTATCTTGGAGGGTATTAGGGCAAAGCCTGGATTAGAGATGGAGAGCTCAGCTCTTATTTCAGCTCCTCTCTTCAGTGCAGCAGTGGATTAAAAA